CATGGGCAGTTCAGACCGTGACAAGACGCGCAGGGACAGCGCGGCACCATCTACACGCGATCAACCAAGTTACGCAGAACTCAACCAGTGGACGGGCACAGCGCGAGCAACGTTAGCACCGCAATCGACGACGCCGCCAACCCATTGGGAACCGCTTGCAAATTGCGCCCCAAGAGGCCCGCCACGATAGGTGAGCTAGCACGCGCGCTCGCGGGGTACATTCACACGCGACATCAAGCGGTGCTCGCGGCCCCCGCCGAACGCGCGCCACGCGCCACGGCCCCAACCCGCCGCGCGCGCCGCGTCCAACGGGGGCCGGCCTTGAACTGCGGACCGCCAGCCAAGATCTACACGACGTCACGGACATCGACAGTGACCGCGTGCTCTACACTTGGATACAGGGGGAGAGTTATCGGAACGGCGACGGCTGGCGCAAGGGGGATACGAATGCCAGGGCGCGATTCAGAAGCAGCGTTCTGATGATTTACGGCCATTGCCACCGGAGCGGCCTGCGCCGCGCACCGCCTTCGGCAGGCCAAGGATTCCATCGGCTGCGCCAGCGCCGCCGCGACCGACGCCGCCACCCGGGCACAAGATGCCCCCTGTGCCGCAGACCATGGCGGCGCCGCAAGTCTCAGCAAAAGCAGCTGCACCGCTGACGTTGCCAACCGACCCGTGGAGGCTACGCCGAGCCCACCCACCGCCAGCGTCGACTGGGCACGACGCAAGCCACTGCCCCACGTGGCGACGACAGCCAGCGCGACTGCGAGAGCGACCACGACTGCGACAAGGGCGGCAACAGCTACGTTCACAAGCCTCTCACGTTGGAATCACTGCCTCTACGCCCAGGCCACGACGTGCGTTGCCCGACAGACTGCAAGGCATGCCGGCCCACGGAGGAGCACGTGGGCGAAGACAGCTTGCTGGCATTGCGATTTCTATTAATAAAACGATGAAGGCAACACTTGCGCGTGTATATTTCCAGATGGCCGCGCGCTGATGGACGCGTGGCACAGGTGCCTCGACATATTCAACCGCGAGTGCTTCATCGGCAACTCCCCGCGCGCGTCGCCGCGCCCACCGTTTAAGGCAGGCATGGCTGCTAGAGAAGCGCCGGAGCAACCGCCGGGTGCGCCGCTTGAGGAGGCGGCGCTGTCTTACAAGCAAGACGAGGACTTCAGATTGGCGGTCGCACTTGTCGACCAGCGCGGCCACGACTGCAACTGATGCCCGAACTACCTTCGCACTAGCTACAGTCTCTCAGTGGCTCCACTCCTGCCAGACCTTGCGACTGACTACTTAACCTACATGAGACGGCACCCCAACTGAGACAATTTGGATATCACCGCATACCCTCCGGAGTCGCCAAAGCACCCGCGTCAACGTCGCCCCTCGACAGCAGTGACCACTCTTGCACCACCATCACCGCCTCTCGAGCACACTCCAGCTGCTCAACCATCAGACATGCCCACGACCAACTAGCGCCCAGACCGCTTGGTGACATCATGCCGCTGGGCGCTGCTGGCAACAGGGCCACTCGAAGCACAGTGCGTCCACTGCCACCGCAGCTATAGATTGCTGGTTCTCACCACCGAAAGCAGCAACTGCACGCGGGCGGCTCGTGGACATTCCACCAAAGAGGCGTGCGCCACACACGCAGGTTGACTTCCGCCCAAAGGCTCCACCGGCCATGCTCGACGGTCGGACTGCCTCCACGCCAGAGCCTGCGCGCGCTGGACGGTGCGACGCGCAGGTCGTAGACGGCGCCAATGACCCGCGACGACTTAACTGTCTGGACACATTTCGCGACCGCCAGCAACGCTACCCACAATGCCTAGCCGAAGTTGCTTTACGCAACTCACGACATCAGGAGACGAACGCCGCGACGAGGTCACCATGGCGCTCAAAGCCCCACCCATGCCCAAACCCAGATCTCCGACGGCAGAGTACAAAGCGCCACCTGCACCGAAGCCAAGGTTTCCGACGCACAGAGAAGAAGGGTCATATTGGGGATCGGATATTGCTTGCACGTCGTTTCCTACATGGACATCAGCTACTGACCTACTTCCTTTTTGTCATAACACAAGTCTTGCACTCTGTGTCCCTACTCGATTCGGGGTGTACCTAAGTCCTCTCCTCTACCTTCTCACCTGCTTGCGCCAGCGCCATTTCACTGTTCTATATTTCCGCCAGTCCAAATACAACCGGGTTTGTGCTTAACCCGGCAAAAAGGCTTGCAAATAACACGAGATTCGCGTCCCCAATGCGGTTGGGGATGAACCGACAAAATCTTAGTCAGCAGCCTTAGGATTGCTGCGAATGCTTAAGCTCCCCTATGCTATTGTAGCACTCTCAGGCCAGCCAGCAAAACTTGCGCCAGCCTCAGCTGCCGCTCTTTCCTATATGGTGAGAAACACAGCACCTCACCTGTTGGACTCAGGGAGTTTCTGTTTGGGGGATGCGGGATGGGCGCGCTGAGTTTCGAGGCCGTGAAAACGTGAAAATGCAGTGCTTTCCTGTTTCGGGGTAGAGCACTACGCGGCCACTCTTGCGCAGCACGCGCTTCAACAGTAACCTACAGGCCAGCCTTTCGATCTGTCAGCCTAACTGGAGAGCGGGCTTACGTTGCATTGGTGGTGGTAGAGGTGGAGGGGGTATACTTTTGCACCCTAGGCCACCCAGCCCGACTTGCGGTTGCTTGCCTCAGCTGCCGATATGTTTTTTTCTTTCAATTTCACCATTGCACCTCATCTTGCTGATTCGGAATATTGGCTATTGCACCCTCACTTCTCCTTGCAGCTGCCGCCGGTGCCATCGTGCGTATCTCGCCAAAATTTAGCATCATCCGTTTAGTACGCAGGACAGATTGTTCCAATCTGTAGGCCAGCCGCCACCGTCTGCGCCAGCCTCGCACACGGCCAACTACCGTCTGGATTGCAGTAAGCACGCGGCACATCTTGATGCTCTTATTCTGCCACATTTTCTACGCTAGCCAGCACGTGTTTACCCGGCAACCTTTGACTTCGTTGACTTTGCCGCTGAGTCATGATTCGTCACCTGATTTGGAGGGTCGGCGGGCATGGGTGGTCTGGAGGAGTGGAGGCACACTTGGTAGCAACCCAAGAATTGCAGTAGGAACGCGGTACATGTGCATGCCCTACTGTGTCACTCCTTAACACTGGTCGGCACGTGCTTTACCAGGCAATCGCTGACTTTGCTTTCGAGCCATGGCTCGCCACCTGAGGTGGGGGATTGGAGGGATTGGGTGGGTGTGTCAGCATTTGGGGAGGCATGGGCGCAACGCGCCTCTATCGGCCCACCCCTGCGCGCCAGGGCGCGATCCCACCAATATAACATTATTTGCCGCTAAGGCCGATCAGGTCGGCCATTCGCTTGCTCCAGCCTTCATTGCAAAGGGAATTCTGCGCAACCAACGCGCTCGAGCTCAGTATACAATACGCTCACATACCGGCGGTCACAGGCCAGCCGTCTTGCGCGCGCCAGCCTCCGCCATGCTGCAGTTCATTACAGCGCAGCCGTATTTCTCGCCATTGATTTTTCCAGCCTGACACTTCGGGGTGGGGGGTTGGGATCTAGGTTGAGAGCAGCGGGAGAGGGGTGATCCGCACATGCAGTACAGCTGCCAGGCCAGCCAGCACCGCTCTGGCCAGCCTACCATCAGCGCACACAGCCCAGACGCTCAAGTGTTCTACTAATTCGGGCTGTGTGCTGCCACTTAGGCGAGCAAGTAGGGAGTGGGCCTGCAGCGCCCACTCCGCTGTGGAGTACTTGAAACAGCACCCTTTAGTACTACAGTTGCATCACATCAGCGTCTCCAGGAACGCCACACTCAATTCCTGATACTTGCCGCCTAAATCGTCACCTGCTCTGCTATTTCACCCTGCATCGCAGCCACCTGTTTTGTTTCTACCGCCAGCCTTATTCGTTGTGGGGATTGGGGTGGGCATTGTGTTGTGGGTCGCATGGGAGGACACCAAAATGCCACACCTTGAGTTCTGCTGCGCAGCCACCCTGTTCTCCCTCCTGGGACACACGGAACTGTGAAGACAACATGGGCCTGCAGCAGTCTTTTTTCTTGTTGTCGCACGAGTATTTCGCTCTCTCTGTGTGTGGTCTCTCCCTTGTGTTTCTCATGGTTGCACTCCCAATGGCAGCTTGCTCAGTTCCTTTGCGCCCGCCTGGGCAATTCCTCTTTTATCGTATCCTTTTGTATGTCCCATTCCGCACCGGCGTTTGCCTTGATTCGTTTGCTTTGGCCGAAGTCTGATTCTTGGTACCTTGAAGCATTTCGCACTGACAGGGCGCAGCAAACATAGCATTTAATGTCCGTTCAAAGCAAAAAAGAGGATGATGATGAGGAGGAGGAGGAGGAGGAGGAGGAGGAGGAGGAGGAAGGGCTGGAGACGGAAGAGGGGGAGCGGTGAGGAGGATGAGGATGACGAGGAGGAGAAGGAAGAGGAGGATGCGGGAGGGGAAAAGAAGGTAGGCGAGGAGGAGGAGGACGAGGTGGATGATGAGGAGGAGAAGAAGGAAGAGGAGGAGGGGGAGGAGAAGGGGGATGATGATGATGATGATGATGATGATGATGATGATGATGATGATGATGATGATGATGATGATGATGATGATGATGATGATGATGATGATGATGATGATGATGATGATGATGATGATGATGATGATGATGATGATGATGATGATGATGATGATGATGATGACGATGATGATGATGCTGTTCATGATGATGATGATGATGATGATGATGATGATGATGATGATGATGATGATGAAGATGAAGATGAAGATGAAGATGAAGATGAAGATGAAGATGAAGATGAAGATGAAGATGGTGGTGATGGTTGTGGGAGTGATAATGGTGGTGAAGATGGTGGTGGTGGTGGTGATGAGGAGGAGGAGGAGGAGGAGGAGGAGGAGGAGGAGGAGCTCGAGCCCCCCCCACGCCCGCTGGCGGGGCTCAGGCGTGACCTTCGTGGGGGACGCCGTGGAGGCTGCCGACCTTCAGATCATGGTGGACCCGTCGGAGCCCTCCTGCTTCGCAATGTACGAGGCCCCGTCGTCGCCACCCCCGACGCCGGCGTTGCCGTCGACGCCGTCGCCGCCGTCGCCGCCGCCATCATCGTCGTCGTCGTCGTCGTCGTCGTCGTCGTCGTCGTAGTCTACTCTTCTTCCTCCTCTTCGTCTCCCCCCTCCGCCCTCGATGCCCCGTGCCCTTCATCTTCCTCCTCCTCCTTCTCCTCTTTTTCCTCGTTTTCCTCTTCCTCCCCTTCCTCGTCCTCCTCATCATCCTCCTTCCCTTCCGCCTCCTCCTCCTCCTCCTCCTCCTCCTCTTCCTCCTCCTCCTCCTCCTTCTCCCTCGAGGTTGCGCAGGAGGAGGCGGAAGAGGGAGGGGGACGGGTAGGGGGTACGGTGGGCGATGGGGCGGAGTGGAAGCGGGGACCCGCTTTTCTTCGGGCGCGTGGACCTCTTGAAGACCTGGATCGCCATCCTCCCCAAGATGATGCAAGAAAGAGTGGCCCTGGAGGCTGCGTGGAAGAAGTGTCTAGCCGCCATGCGTACGGCCGCTAGTCCCTGGAACAAGGTCCGAGGTTCCATCGGGGCCGTTATCACCACCCTCCTACAGGCCAATTGGGATCCCAAGTTACCATGGGCCTGGACCGACTACGCTGGTGATACCTTTTTATCTTATCCCTGGAGAAGCTCCCGTCGACAGGGCCCCCTTCTACCTCGAGACCCTCTCAGGCTCCCCTGCTGGCTGGACACACAGCGTTGTCTCGGAGCTGGAGGCCACGTTCGAGCTCCGCATTTGGCAAGAGCACGCATGCAAGCACTTCTGCGGGAAAGGCCTTGAGGAAGGAGCTGATTTGACTGTCCTCGGGAGGAAGAACATGTCTGGGCATGCTAGTTTTCTGGAACTCCTGGCCACGGGGGCTCTCTGGCCAGGGACTCGAAGGTTTCCAGATGATGAAGAAAAGCAGAAGTGCAAGCGGTGCGGCCAGCCCGAGACCATTTTCCACCAGCAGTGGGGATGCTCTCAACTTCAGGCGTCTGAAGGCACGGCCTTCGACCTGGCTGGCCAAGCCGCTGCCGAGCATGAAGATTACCCGTGCTTCTGGTCGCGCGGACTGGTACCCCTAGGCTGGGCGTACAGGATATGTGACCACTGGTCCGACTTTCGGTTCTCCTCCGACGGTGTCCTCCAGCACCAACAGCGGTTCCAGCTACCTCCCCAAGCAGTAGTAGGCTCTGACGACAGCGGGGGGGGGGGGAGCTTTCCTCGGACGTAAGGTGTCGGCGCTGCGGGTGGGGTATCGCGGTGGCCTGCCAAGGGCAAGTCCTCGGGAAAGCCTGGGGCCCCCTGGTGGGCCGCTCCCACACGGTCCCGCTCGTTGAGCTAGAAGCTGTGACCCAAGCCTTGCGCCACACATCAGGTCCAGGGAAATTTGTTATAGATGCCAATACGTTATAGATGGCATAGCTCGGGGCCCCCAGCACGTCAGCCCCTCGAACTCGGCAGCCTGGGCCCGTTTTTGGGCCGCTGTCCAGGAGCACCCAGGGGATCCCGAGTTTTGTAAAGTTAAATCGCACTTGTCCCGTGCTGATATCGGGCGCCTCGTGAGCGAAGATGATTTGTGGCGAATGAGGCGGCCGATTTTGCGGCCGACCTCGGCGCGAAGGAGGCCGCGCTCCCCCCCCCAGGCTCTCGCCGACCTCGCCGCCCTAGATGACTTGGCTTTTAAGGTTGCCAAACATCTCCTCACGGTCGGCCTCGAAGAGGCCAAGGCCCGAGCTGAAGACGCCAAGGCAAACCCTGGGCCTCCTTTTGCCGAACGAATTGCGGCCCGGCGAGCGAAGCCACTCGACAAGAGAGTTGAGACCGCTGCCGCGGCAGCAACTACCTCCCACAGGCCCATCCCGTGGCGAGGAGGATTCCGGTGCGTGGTCTGCCTCCAGTCCCCCACTCGGGCCCTCCCTAAGCTCGAGTGGCTCCGTGCATCCTGTCTAGGCCGCCCAGCCCAGACCCATGACAGCCACCACCTCCGTAACACCAGGGGGCTGTGGTGGTGCACCACGTGTGGAGGGTCAGGGGGTATTAAGTTCTTCTCCCTCTGTAAGGTTTGCAGGCCTCCGACGAAAGCAGGGAAAGCTGCCCTGGATCGTCTCGAGCGGGATGAGCTTCCTCCAAAGCGGGCCTCGTGGCCAGATGCGTCGCGAGGATAGCCGTCTCTGCTTCTTCCTTTTTGGGGCTCCCCTGTAAGTAGAGGATCACGCCCCCTATGAGCGCCCCAGGAGGAGGAGGGCGAGGAGGGAGGGGGCAGAAGGAAGGGGATAGGTGGACGCAGTCTTGACCCCGAGAGGGGGCTGAACTTTCAAAGGAGGAGGAGGAGGAGAAAGAGGGGAAAGAGGAGGAGGAGGAGGAGGAGGAGGAGGAGGAGGAGGAGGAGGAGGAGGAGGAGGAGGGTGAGGCGGGAGGGGGCAGGCGGAAGGGGAAAGGTGGACGCAGTCTTGACCCCGAGAGGGGGCTGAACTTTCAAAGGAGGAGAAGAAAGAGTACGAGTAGGAGGAGAAGGATGGAGGGCGTTTTGCGGAGGGCGGAGGAGGATGAATGCGGAGCTGAGAGGAAGGGCACGTGACACAGTCTTGCCTCAGGGAGGTCCGAGGCAGGAGAGGATTCAACTATGAGGGCCACTCATCTTTCAAGCATCGTGCACTCTGAAAAGCCGCACCCCCTTCCTAAACATCCACCATTCCATCCCGGGATCTCCAGGGTGGGCTGCGGTTGATGGGGTGCCAACAAGCCTTCCGACTCCCCCTTGTGCGTCCAGCCGTGCGACGCGCAGCTCGCTGGTTCCCAGTTAACCAGCGAAGTTTTGGCCAACGCGCGCAAGCACCGAGGAAGCGCTTGAAGCGGGGGCAACATAGAAGAACTTGGCGCGGGACCCCGGTGTTGAATCCTCTTCGGTCGTTCTTGGGCGAGGAGAAGGAGAGCGAGAAAGGGTCAGAGAGAGAGGTGTCATGGTGATGATGATGACACTGATGATGATGATGATGACGATGATGATGATGATGATGATGATGATGATGATGATGATGATGATGATGATGATGCTGATGCTGATGCTGATGCTGATGCTGATGCTGATGCTGATGCTGATGCTGATGCTGATTCTGATAATGATGATGCTGATGCTGATGATGATGGTGATGATGATGATGACGATGGCGATGACGATGACGATGATGATGACGATGGCGATGGCGATGACGATGGTGATGGCGATGGTGATGGTAGTGGTGATGGTAGTGGTAGTGGTAGTGGTGATGGTGATGATGTTGATGATGATGAGGATGATGATGCTGACGGCAATGGTGATACTGATAATCGCGGTGAGTGGTGGTGGTGGTGATCTTGATGATGATGATGATGATGGTGGTGGTGATGGTGGACATGTTGATGAGGATGGTGATGATGGAGGTGGTGGTGATGAACATGATGATATGGGTGGTGGGGATGATGATGATGATGATGATGATGATGATTGTGATGGTGATGGTGATGATGATGATGATGATGATGATGATGATGATGATGAATCGGTGATGGTGATGACGGTGATGATGATTATGCCCATGATGATGTTGATGATCATGATTATGATGATCATGATGATGACGATGATGATGAGGATGATGATGGTGATGATGATGATGATGATGATGATGGTGCTGCTGCTAGTGATGACGATGCTGGTGATGTTGCGTTTGAGGAGAAGGAGGCGAAGGAGGAGGAGGGCGAAGAGGAACCTCCTTCCTACTCTGGCTTCCCGTCGCCTCGTCCTCTTATTCCTGCGCCCCCCCCTCTCCTCCTCCCACCCAGGCTCCCCCTGCGGGATGGAGTCGTTGATCCCCGCATGAACTACACACAATTATCCTGTCGAACGACCCAACCATCTGCAAGTGTGAGTACGCAGGTCAGCTGGGACGAAGAATGGTGAGCTCCTTACGGTGCCTTCGGTGGAGCTCCCTGTGGGGCCACGAACCGTGTGAGGGGTGTGCCCAAATGGGTGGCGGTCCCCGCATGCGGCTTTGCCGCTGGGGCCTTCGATGGAGCTCCCTGTAGGGCCACGAACCGTGTGAGGGGTGTGCCAAAATGGGTGGCGGTCCCTGCACCATTGGGGCCTTCGGTCGAGCTCCTTGTGGGGCCACGAACCGTGTGAGGGGTGTGCCAAAATGGATGGCGGTCCCCTCATGCGGCTGTGCCAACACAACTCAGGTTCCCCCCGACATCATTCCTGGCACATCACCAGTACCTCGCGGAGGAGGAGGAAGAGGAGGAGGAGTGAAGAGGAGGTGACGCGGGGCGCTGTCTCCTCAGAGCGAGGACCCAACGCCACAATATGGTTGGGAACAGTACAGCACCAGTCAAGCAAGCAACGCGCATAAACAAACCTTGGTGAACTATTCGCTGCGTCCCTCCCCCCGCCCTCCCCCCTCCCAGAAGGGTCACCAGGATGTCGTTCTGTGTTTCTGTTTGACGCTTCCTGGGATTGAGGCGTGACTCCGCCCGGAAGGGGGGAATCTCAGTACGAGGCCCCGTTGTGCTCCTGGTCCTCAAGTCGCCTCCCTTCCCCCTGCCCCGTCCTCGTTCGCTCCCGTCTTCTGAACTTCCCTACTCGCTTATTCCTCTTCCCTCAGCCTCATCTTCCTGACCATCGTCCTCAGTATCCTCGTCTGACTTCTGACCTTCACGTCGCCCCCCCCCCCCCCGCATTTCCCCCCTCACCCGTCCTCATCAGTATATTGATCTCCTCTCTCTCCTCATCCCTCATTATCATCATCTTCCTCTTCCTGCTTCCATCGCTCGCTTCTCATCTTGCTTTCTTCTGATCCTATCACTCCTCCTCATCCCCCTCCTCCTTCCCCTCCTCCTCCTGTATGCCGCATGTGAGGATGAGGAGGAGTAGTCCTGCTCCTCGCCATCCGTCCGTCACTCATGCCTCTCCTCGCCCTATCCCGCATGGGGGGAAGAGGATGCAGGGGGAGGGGGAGAGGAGTAGGAGGGAGGGAGGATGACAGGACGGGAGGGAGATGGAGTGACTCCTCAACCCCTGCTTCATCCTCCTCCTTCCAATCCCCCTCCTCCTGTCACCACTACTCCCTCCTCCTTCCTCCTCGTCCTCCCTCCTCCTCCTTCTTCCCTCCTCCTTCTCGTCCTCCTCCCCTCCTCCCTTTCCTCTCATCAGACATTGGAGGAGGAGCAGGAGTGACAGACGACGGGAAAACTGGAGGAGGAGGAGGAGAAAGTGGACAAGGAGGAGTGTTGCATCACCATCCTCCACCTCCAACTCTTCCCCCTCCTTTTCATCATATCACTCCTGCTCATTTGTGCGCTCACTACTCCCCCTACCGTCCCACCATTGGATGGATATGATGAGGGGGAATTGGAAGAGGGGGAGGGCGTTGTACAACGCGTACTCGTATTTCTCGTAGTGGTCGCAGTAGGAGTAGCAGTAGCAGTACAAGTGGCAAGATAATGAGGCAGGAGGGGAGGAGGACTGACTCCTAAACCTCCTCCTGCTGCTCATCAGCTTATTCCTCATGCCACTCCACGTCGTTCTCGTTACACTCTCCCTCCTCCCCCTCCGATCGGGGAGAAATACATGGGATGAGGAGGAGCATCCCTGCAAGGATGGTGAGTAGGGGGAGGGTTGATGGTAGCAGGAGGACCATAGTGTTGATGAGTAGGATGAGGAGGAGGAGGAGGAGGAGGAGGAGGAGGAAGAGTGACTCCTCAGCCCCGCCTCATCCTGCTCCTCCTCATATCACTCCTCCTCCTCCTCCTCGACCTCCTCCTATCAGCACTCATCTTTCTCCTCACCTTCACACTGCTCCTTCTCCTGATCCTATCCTCATCCTCCTGATGATTGTCCTCTTTATCCTCGTCCTGCTCCTGATCCACACGTCGCTCACCCTTCCCTCCGCCTGCGTCCTCGCCCCCATCCTTCGCCTCCTGATCCTCCCTTCGTCCTCACCCCTCATCCTCTTCCTCAGTCTCCTCTTCTCTTGGGGAGAGGACGAGGGCAAGAGCATGGGAAGGAGGATGTCGAGGAGTCACTGCTCAAGTGTGGAGCTTGAGCCGTGCGGGCATTCCTCTGCACTCCGCCCCACCCCTCGCAATTTGATAAGGATGAGAAGGACGAGGAGAGTTGGAGAAGGAGGAGGAGGTGGAGGAATTGGATGATGAAGAGCAGGGGAAGGGGGAGGAGGAGGACGAGGAGGAGGAGGGCGAAGGGAGGGTATAATTGTTGTTGTTCTCTCTCGCTCTCTCTCTCTCTCTCTCTGTACTTTTTTTTGTTGTTTCTCTCTCTCTCTCTTTCTTTCTATTCGTTATATGACATCTAAATTGCAGATACGCCTGTCTCTCACACAATATCACCCCTTCGTGGTCCCAGAGCGCCAAGCGGGCCCCCTCGGCAAGAACCTGTTCGTTCAGCCGCAGCCCCACTCCCAGGAACGGGAGCCGAGGAGACCGTCCGGTGGCAACCTGAACAGTTGTTGCCGCGGGGAGGGGGGGCGCCGGTGGAGACCCTGGGACAGCACAGGGAGGGGGATGTGAGTCCTATCGTCTTCCTCCTCGTCATCCGTACCCCTCTGGTTGGACCGAAGCCATCATCCTTTGGAGCTTGCTGACCAGCTCGCACAGGCCACGCCATGGGCCAAAGCGAAAGCAACGTTGTGGCGCACACCGTCTCCGGGTTCGAGGCGTGGTTCAACGAGCATGGCGAGGGACGAACGGCGGCTCACATCCTCGGGTTCAACAAGAAAATGCCCAGTGACCTGAACGAGGCCGCCCTGGAGAGCATCAAGGACTTCAGCGTCATCACCTGGGGTGGCGATGCCTATGCCGAAGACTCATTCACCGCCCTCGTCCCGCTTTTCTTGGGGAAGGGCAGCGACAAGCTTGCCATCGGTTTTCGGAAGAAGGGCGCGGTTGAGGGCTTCCGAGCCTCATGGAGGACAGTTGCCTCGCAGTTCCCGGGACGGATCCATGTCGTGGAGTGCGACGTGGAGCAGCCAGCCGAGGACTTGTTTCGGCGCCTCGGGGTGCGGCTGCAGGACGAGAGGAGCAGCTACGCGGAGCAGCTTCCAGATGTGAGGCAGCCCTACTTCTGGTTCGGCCGCCTTGCCGTTGCTTTGCTGCACAGCAGGCGCATCGTGGGCGTCGGAGGTGGCGGCGTCGCAAAGCTGGAATGCGAAGCGGCCCTCGACGCAGATCCTACCGTGCAGGTCACAGTGCACGCGCAAGTGCGTCGGTCTGGAAAGTCAGGGCGGCAGCCAGGAGCGGCGCACAGAGAGCTGGTGGATTTCGCCAGGGAAGATGGCCGCATCGAATTCATCCCACGAACGGACGAGCACTATGTGCTCAGCGTCCGTTACGACAAGAACGCTTTCTTCAGACGCAACAGGAATGCCGAGATCGTGGCGGTGTTGCTCGGCGAGGAGAACTGCTTCTGCCCGAACTTTGTGAAGAAGTCCCAGAAGTCAGAATGCCATGGCCGCCGGACTGGAGAGTGCTTGGGCCGGTCGGTGGGCACTTCGGGGCAGGCTGCTTGCCGGGACTCCAGTAGGGTCCAGCAGGGCGCAGAGCCCACTGATGACGCATGCTGGGCAGGCTCCTTCCGATGGCGATTGGAGGGGAAGTGCCGGCGGGGGCGCGCTCGTGGGGGCAGGCTCCCGACCATGATCCGCCTGCTGGTGGACGGCCAGATGGGTCCAGGGCAGCAGCAGGAGGACAGGATGGCGAGAGAGGTCGGCAACCGCATCCTGGAGATCGAGGTGGGCACGGACGTCCTGCAGGATTCCCTCTCTGGCCTCCTCCATCTCGGCCTCGAGGCCAGCACCGCCGCCCAGTACAGCGCCGTCGGCTTCACCATCGGCGCCGTCGGCTCAACCATGGGCGCCGTCGCCGGCGTCGGCGCCGGTGTCATCGGCGCCTTCGGCGCCGGGTTCAACGGCGGTCTCCGGCGACGCCGCATGGAGCTGGCAGCGAAGCTGCGGGCCCAGGGCGTGGACGTGCCCGCCCGCTGAGGCGATCTCGTGCCGGCGGCGGCAGCCAGCGGCCCTCGTGGGGCGCGCCGCGCGGGCCGCCCTCGCCAGGCGGGCCCGGCCTGCGCGCGCCGCGCGCGCCCGGCCCGAGCACTCGCGGAGGGCGCGGCGGGCCCCTGGGAGCGCCGCCGGCCGGGGCGGCCGCGGGCCGAGCGAGGAGGCGCCCGACGAGAGCGCGCCGAGGGGGGCCCAGCAAGGGGGGAGGGGCCCAAGCAGAGCGGCCGCGCGCAGATCGGAGAACAAAGAACACGGCAGAGGCATACACTTTCGACGGTCCGCGCGGATTTCTTGGATCCGCGCTGGGCCCCCCGGCGGCGCCTCTGGCGCGCTCCGCGCGCCAGGGAAGGGGCTCTAGCCCTGATCCCAGAAATCCGCGCGGACCTCCAAAAGTTAATGTTTATGCCGTTTTTCTTCTTCTTAGTATGGCCGCCCATTCTCCCTGTTTCAGCCTCGCGTGCCTCTCGCAGTGGTGGCGCAGGGCGCCCGAAAGGGCTGGCGCACCTGTCTTGGCCCAGTGCTGTGCTCCAGACCATGCCAGCTGGCGCGTTGCAGCCGCGCCAGCCAGGAGAAGGACGCTGCGCTCCAGGCTTGGACTCTGGAGTCGGCTCACCGCCGCATGCTTGAATTCGTCGCTCCTGGAAGGCATTTCTGCGCAGACCCGTCCGCAACTTTGAAGAAGAGAAAACGGCATAGACATAAGCTTTTGGCGCTCCGCGCGGATTTCGCAGATTTCGCGGATCCGCGCTGGGCCCCCCTGGCGGCGCCTCCGGCGCCGCCCCTGGCGCGCTCCGCGCGCCAGGGAGGGGGCCCAGCGCGGATCCGAGAAATCCGCGCGGAGCGCCAAAGGTTATGTTTATGGCGTTTTTTGTTATTCTGCGAATGGCCTCGGACAGGGCCCGCAGCATCCATGCTGCACCAGGGGTCCTTCGCAGGGATTCGCCCATGGAGGACGGCTGGGGCGGTGGGAGGCCGCGTGCGCGCGTGCCGGCGCTCTCGCTTTTTTCCCTGCGCCGGTCACCGCAGCAGCTCTGGCCACGGGCCAGGCTTAAGTCGGGCGTGTCCCTCCACAGGGGGCAAAATCAGACAGGGACGACTTTCTGACTATTTCTGACTATGTCTGATTCTTTGTGCCTGGTTTTTGTATGATCGCTTCGCTCATTCCGCCGGCCCTGGAGCCCTCTTTAGTCAGAGCGTGAATTACCTACCCCGCTTTCGCTTCCAGGCAAAACCAAGTCATACCACGCGCCTCCTCGTCAAGCGGCCTGACCAATACAGGCCGTAGTTTGGCATCGTTTGCTATCTCTTGGAAGCGAGGGTGGTCAAAAGCGAGGTAGGTTTGTTTGCCTCCTATTTAGGGCCTCTTGGGAGCCTCTTGGGGACCTCTTGGGAGACTCTTGGGGCTCCTCGGCGGCGCCTTGGGGGCCCCCAGGGCCTCTTGGGGGGCTCTTGGGGGCCTCTTGGGGCAGGAGGGGGGGTAGTCGATTGCACCCCCCCTCTCGGAGGCCACGATCCTCGTGAGGAGTGTCGAAAAATTGACCGGTCCGGCATCCCTGACCCGACCTTGCCGGGATTTTCCCGGGACTTGCCCGGATATTTTGCGCCCGGGGGCCCCTTCAGGGGCCGCCCCGCGCGCGCGAACTAGACATATTTTTAAAACCAGTTACCCAGAGGCTCCAATCCGAATAAATCAAATATATCTTCTTATATTATGCGCATCTTTTTTATGAATCGGCTTCGGTCATTTCGTTGATCTTCTTTTTTATATATCCTCTTTTCTTTGCAACATAGTCTTCATGTGTGGCTCATTTTCTTCCGTTATTCTGAATATTGAAGATCTCCTTCTTTTATGAAGTTGCATGATTTTGAATATTTTTTGGGGCGCCAGCCGTCCGCGTTTGCGGGCCCATGGCCCAATAGCCAAGTTCATGTCGACGCTTAGTGGCCACGTGCCAGCTGCGTTCAGCAAAAGCCTCTGCTCCTCCTCCTCCTTTTCCTCCTTCTCCTCCTCCTCTTCCTCCTCCTCTCCTTCTCCTTTTCCTCCCCTCCTCCTCCTCCTCCTCTTCCTCCTCCTTCTCCTCCTCTTCCTTCTCCTCCTCTTCCTCCTCCTCATCCTCTTCGTGATCTTCCTGCTGCTCCTCCTCTTCCTCCTCCTCCTCCTCCTCCTTATCTTCCTGCTCCTCCTCCTCCTCCTCCTCCTCCTCCTCTCTCCTCCTCCTCCTCCTCCTCCTCCTCCTCTTCTCCTCCTCCTCCTCCTCCTCCTCCTCCTCCTCCTCCTCCTCCTCCTCCTCCTCCTCCTCTTCCGAATCGTTGGGCCGCGGCTATCGTGAAACCGACCAGGGTCACGAGTTCGGAATGTGCCACCTGTTTTTGCCATGGTTTATTTTCCTGGGTTTTTTCTCGGCGGTGACGGAACGGCGCAAGCCTTTGCAGGGCAGGTGCGGGGAAGTCGGCGCGAAGCGTTTGCGATGCAACTCAGTTGCCGATCCGAGGTGGGGGGAGCGAGGGAGGGAGAGGGAGAGAGGGAGAGAGGGAGAGAGGGGGAGGGCGAGCGAGAGGGAAGGACGGAAGGGCGGTGAGACGGAAGGCGGGGGGTGATTTGGAAAACAAATTGTGACACCACCGATTTGGCACCACATTTCCATTGCGACACGGGCCTCGGCAATATCACAAGCACGGTTGCACACGCATGCGCATTAAAGCGAGAAGAGAGGCTTCGAGATTGTGAGGATGAGGAAGGAGTTCGAGCTGCAATCCAGCCTACGAGAATTATGTCATTTCCCCATGGCTTAAACATCGATGCTGGGCCAGAGCAAGAAGTGAAACTAGCGCAAACGGTAGCGCTCGATCAGACCAACGCTCAACGACCTCGGGTGCACGGAAGCGGCCAGATCTGAACAGTCTCCGATAGCGTCCTCGTCCCCATACGCCCAGTACATTCGAGGATGATTTAAAGGCTGCCACCTCTGCCGCCGACCCCAAAGAAGTTCATGGATGTTTGTGCGCCATGGGCTTTTCCGATAAGTGACAGGCTGCTGTCTCACTTCTGCGCGTATCCGATACGTCAGTCGGACGGGCTTCCATGGGGCCGCCTTGGAGCCCGCTTGGGCCGTCTTGGGGCTTTCTTGGGTTGTTGTGGGCGCTTTTTGAGAGGACTCTTGGATGTTCCGGGGAATGGGGGTAGAGGAGCGAGGCTGTTTCGCCCCTCCCTTTCTTTGATCGATCGCCTCCAAGATGGCACTACGAGGCGCCCAGAAGGCTCAATTGGGGCACTCTTGGGCCATCTTGGAGCCATCTTGAAGCCTCGGAAGAGTATCGAACGCGAATGGAAGACAATGCGCTCATGATAGATTTTCTTTACGTGCTCGAAGGGTTTGGGTCTCTTGGGGGCCTCCTTGGGGAACTCTTTGCTCACTTGGAGTCGTCTTGGAGCGGTTTTGGGGCCTCTTGGAGCATCTTGGAAGCTATATTGAGCGATCATGCGCTGTATCGGCCCATGTTGGAGGCCATCTTGCACTCCCTGAGGCCCTCTTGGAGCCTGCCTGGGCCATCTTGTACGCTCCAACGCGTCGCGGCCACCCCCGTCCAGGTTCAGGGAAGGTGGTAGAATGGGCATGGAAGAGGAAAGTCTAGACCACCTACGCCCATAGGGCTGGTGGGGGCGACGTCTGGTGGGTTGAGTTTCGTGGGCTCCCGGACGACGTCCGGTGGTTTGTCGCGGTTTCGGGGGCTCCTGGACGGCGACAAATTGGACGGCGCGTTCATCACGGGAAGTGCGTTGAGACTCGAACGGTCGCGCGATGGACGTTGAATATGGGCCCGGAGGGTCTCTCTGAGAGTGCTCTTGGATGCATCTCTTGGAGTGTGTTGCGGCGGTGATAGTGGGGTAGCCGGGGGGGGAGGGCGGGTGGGGGGGGGTGGGGAGGGGGGGGGGGCGGTTGATGTGCTCTGCCCCGTGTCGCGCTCTCTCTCTCTCTCTCTCTCTCTCTCTCCCTGTTTTTTTTGTTTTTGTTTTTCACTCTCTCTCTCTCTCTCTCTCTCTTCCTCGTGCAAAACATGTCCTCCATTCTCCCAAACGTTCGACGACGTGATTTTGTCAAGGTGTGGGCCCTCGGAGGTTCGGTGGCCTTCCCGGGATGCAGTTTTGCGTCCAAGGTTGATTTTTGGCGGCTGTCCCGATGGTTGTCGGGGGGTTATGGCTTCGGGGTCGCGGATATTGCGTAATTCCTTAAAGTTTATGCCCCCAGGGGCACGAATATTGCGTAATTTACGTGGGTTTATGGCCTCGCGGGCGCGAATCCCAGGTTCTCTTACGTGTCCCACGACCCCGCAGGAATTCTGAGTTTCCCGGAGGGGCGTGGTAATCCGGGCCTTTTTCGGCTCCCCCCCCTCGCGCGTTCAGTAACAATTCGCAGTAGGAAGCAGTAAGTGGAACTATCACAGTGGAAACTGGAACCTGCAACTGGTGCAGGGATCAGCAAACTCCGTCCTACAGCCTGGTGGCCCCACAAGGGGGCCGGCGGACTTCTCCTCGTCTTCCCTCCTCATTATTCTCCGTTTTCTCCGTCTCTTCCTCGTCCTCCCCCCCTCCTCTATCCCCTACTCCCCCCTCCTCATCCTCCTCGTCCTCGTATGCGGAGTTCGGTTGTTCTTTTTGAGACGCGCCAGGGGTAGCAGCCACCCCCCCTTCGTCGGTTCATAGCGGCCGCAAGTGGTGTCGATACGGACTAGCCGGTCGAGTAGTTTTCGTGCCAGGACTTCAGAGTGGCCGTCTCATTCTCCATTTCTCTGACATCATCATAATACACATTGTCACCATCACCGCCATCCATCATCATCATCGTAATCATCGTCATAATCATCATAGTCCCCAGGCTTGGCTTAGAACGAGCGGGTGCTCATGTCATGTGGAACTGCCGCCCGCCTCTTCTCCTCTCCTCCAGTCCACCTGTCCAGGTCGCCCAGATGGGGCCTGAGTAGACGGGGTCAGAGGATCGCGTCACGTCGCTGATACATCGCCGATGCACCGGCGATGCGGTGCGACCATCCTTCCC